CGTTGCTTTCTATTCTTAATATATCTGGCACATTCTTAAGACACATGCTGGGCATAGTGTTACTGAATAGCATAAAAATCTGTTACCTCCACAACCAGGCCTTCAGCTGCAGGAACTGGAATCTTAGGGCCCAATTTTGGTGCTAAACTCCAGGAAAGAGCCTCCTCAAGTTCATCTATATTTATGTCCTGTTCTTTGGGGAGAGCCGTATGACAGTCCTGAATCTTTTTTCTCCCACTGTCTGCACAAGAGATCTCAGATCCACTAGTGCTATTTCCTCTTGATATATTCTTTTCTTCATTTAATCCTTCTTCATACATGTCTGTAAAGCCATACCAAAATAAAATGTTGCTGAATGCAAACAGTAAGTAAACTTGAAGACAAATATTATACCTCAGCACAGGAGGACAAAATAATTTCCTACATCAACTTGTTGTGAACACAGATATATAGAATGAGTCAGTCGTAAAATGGAGAGCTGCTATTACAAGTGGGGAGAAAAGTATCTGCTTCATCACTGCAAAGGACTATGACTCTATCAGAGAAAGAAATGCCAAAATTCCCTTGGTATTCAGCAATGCAGCCCATAATAGCTGTGTGTTTGTTTTGGGTTGGGTTTGGTTTTTTTGTTTGTTTGGTTGGGTTTTTTTTACATTGACTATAGTACAGAGAGCACATGGTACCTGTTAGAAGTTGCCTATTTCCACTGCTAGCCCAAGGTTTATTGTAACTGGCACTGAGTAGCAAGAAAGTACTACTGCATCCCCATTCTTAATAGGTACCAGTGTACTGAGTCAACTATTAGCATTCCACAGCCAGCAAAAGCATTTGTCCTTTATACCTTTGGGTTGAGAGATTATAAGCTCCACTTCATCAGGAGAATTCTGTATGATTTTAACTGCGGTATTAAATGAAACACCCTCTAGGCTAATATTATTCACAGAGATGAGTCGTCCTCCTTAAAAAAAAAAAAAAAAGTTAAAAACAAGAGAAAACACATCTAAATAAGGAAATAAATCCAGACTGGCTAACTTTAAACTATGGAAATACTTTAATACTAATTAAAAACTAAGGGCAATGACCTGGTTTGATATTTCCAGCTCTGTCTGCAGGTCCCCCAGGGATAATTGAAGCAATAAAAATACCGAGGTCTAATTTTCCTACATTTTCTCCTCCAATAATTACAAAACCTGCAAAAATGAGATAGCGTGAGAATGCAGAGACACTGGCAGTGTAAGAAAAGATGTACCTTAGGAGCACAAAAATACTCTTACTCCAATGGCATAGATTTTACATCATGTGCAGAATGAGGAGGTCAGATTTACGTAGTATCAAGGTCTTGACTTGGGAGAGCTTTAAACTCACGTTATAATTAAAGTATGCTGGTGACTTCAGTAGCTATTTAAAAATAATTTCTCAATAAAAATGTTTTCCTGGCTTGGGACTTAAGATTCCAACTACTTACTTAAATGAGTCATAAACTATGTGGACGTCCTGTAGGAAGAAAATGGTTTAAAAGCTCATTAGATAAATTTGAACATTGTTTTACATCATGTAGTCTGGGGCCCCTGAGGTGGGCCATGTAAGATTCTAATGGACATATAAGAGAGTTGTAAGAAAATTAAATCTGTTGTCAAGTAGTTCAATATCACTATCCTAGCTCAGAATATTCTACTTATTGCAGAATATATTCTTCTCACTGGTAGAATAGTTGGGTTTGGGATCCGTATATTCTACACAGACCTGAACTATTTAAAAATTTGATGTTGATTTTATTAATGGTCAGCTGTGAAACCTGATGGTCCTCTGAACCCATCCACAAGAATAAGATACAGTGCAGTATGTATTATATAACAAAAATGTTGTCTAAGTAAGAATCCAAGAGTCAGAAAACATTCATGTTAAGCTTGTCTATACATTTTGCACCTCCACAGGCAATACCTGAAAGGTTTGAAGAACATTGTCCCCCACTGTGTAGGGGCTAAGATAAATAAAATCACTGTGCTTGTACTTCAGGTACAAAACTAGACCCTTGTTCCTTTCATTCTACCCTTAGCACCTGGTCCCCTTGACCTCTGTGGCCTTAGCTAATTCTCTGAAAAAAAGGTCTTGATTTATGCACTCAGCCCTTTTCAGTCTCAGAAAGTCCTTCACAAAGATTGGTAGTCTTAATAAATGAGGTGAAGAAGGTTAAAATCTTGCTCAGCTTGAGTCAGTAAGTTTGCATGCTAGCACCAGGATCTGACAGTCCCAGTAACAATCAAAACATTCATGTTCCTTACTTACCAAATCCATTCTTAGGGTCACGTTTTAGGCTGACACAAATGATTTCTCTTTCTAGACCACTCAGCAAAACTTCCTTTTGGATGGCTGGTGATCCAGGTGCTGCAGAAACAAAATGGCTAGAATAAATGCAGATTAATGCAGGGAGACAGTAGATTCATACAGTATGCAAAACTGGGGCTTCAAAAATTAAAAATTTATTTTGCCCTTGTTTTCAACATTACCATTAGTTCTGAATTAATGTAGTGCCTGAAGGAAGCTCAAACAAGTATTTGTAAATTAGCATTCTTTAATAAAGTATATGAACAGTAGGAGTGTAAACTTTTCCTATAATGTTCCTTTCTGGGAGACTACATGTTATTTTGCAATGTTTTAATTAATGTTAGAATATCTACATAGTGAGGTGTGTAGTGCCATTGAACATGAGGGTGATTGAACGCAGAATGTCCTGTGGCTTCCTTTGGGAAGTCTAGTCTTCAGCCCTGTGGGCCCTTTTGCCTCTACAGGGTGTTTAAAGTACAGTTTTAATTTTAAACTAACCAAATAATCATAGCTTCATGTTCCATAGATCAACTCACTGTGTGTATGCAGTATGGCTTCTGTTAGAAAATTAGGTATGTAATTCGTCTTATTCCTGTCAGTGTTATGCAAATCAAGAACAGAGGAAGGATCTGGAGCCCATGTTGTCTCGTGCACTATTTATTGATTGTAGATCTCAATTGCAAACCAAATTATTACTTCTGAGCATAGGGATATTGCCCCACGTGAGAGTCCTGGCTATACTGGACTACATCTCTGAAGAACATTAGGGACCATTGGTAGAATAATTTTATCATTAAGTTCCTTACCACTGAGCCTGATGGAAAACAGGATTGAAAGAGAAGAAAACAGCTTGTCTTGCTAAACTCTGGGTAAATTCTAGGACTAGAGTGCACAAGGATATTCTTTAATCTGTAAGTAGAATGTATGTTGGTCTCCTGCTATTGAAACAATAAATATGGAAAGGTACTGTCTCCATGACTATTATACTCACCACTGATTGTGTTCTGAGTTGAGTGGATAGAGAGGTAGTCATAACTCCTTTGCTTTCCATTCAGATTGATGTGCATTTCTGACTGGGATAGCCCTGATGTGGATCTGCATGGCAGGAAATTAAGACTTCATTACAATGACAAATCAACAATGGTATTTAGCACTCTTTATTGTCATTAGCCTGGCAGAGCCAAGTTGGGACTGAACATGTTTATAGCCTTTCAATGAGTTTTCTGATTTCTGGGCCACATTTCATTGTAGGGGAGAAGTAGTTTATCCTTGCCAGCATTTGCTTCCAGATAACAGCTGCCATTAGACCACTCACATCACGACTGATTTCCCCCTGTGTTTTTCTCTGAGTTGAGTGCAGGCATTGGGAAAACACAGCATAGCCTCAGCATGATTCATTTAGCCCTGCTGTCCATTTAGACAAACCACATCTGAAAGTTTTCCTGGTAGTTCCTGTTCTTCTTGGCTCCATTCTAACTCTTCGTATTCTAAAAGGCACTAAAACTCATCAAAGGCCTCAAGACTGTGTGCAGCTATAGTAACCGCCTACACTGGTGGATGTACCAATGCAATTGAAAAGGCAGAAGTTCTTACACTTGATCTCTATGATTTTTAACTTTAGACAGGGAGGAATCAATTAGGTAAGACCTGCTTAAAAACAGTTTGCACTGTGCATTCACTTCACATACTGCCGTTTCCAGAAGAGATACACAGACATTAAAGATTTTACTTTTATCTTCCCTCATTGTTATCCTTCTCCATAATGCAATAAGTGGGTCATTCCCAAGTCTGGTACGAATTTAAATGTCAGTCGTTTTCAATTTCTTGTATGTTAGACTGCTAGCTTCCTGCCAGTTTGCCCTGTAGCTGGCATCATGGAGCCCTAGGCCTGACAGGGTCTTCTGGTGTGACCGCAATAAAGACTGTAAAAAACCAAAAAGTCTGCCTCGGAGTTTACTGTAGTGGGTTGCAATGATATCGTCTGTGACTAGCCTATAAGGGACTACAAGGAAGCTGGGAGGAGACTTTTTACAAGGGCCTGTAGTGACAGGACAAGGGGTAATGGGTTTAAATTGAAAGCAGGGAGGTTTAGATTAGATATCAGGAAGAAATTCTTCATGGAAAGGGTGGTGGGCACTGGAACTGCCCAGAGATGTTGTGGATGCCCCATCCCTGGAAGTATTCAAGGCCGGGCTGGATGAGGCTTTGAGCAACCTGGTCGAGTGGAAGGTGTCCCTGCCCATGGCAGGGGGGTTGGAACTAGATGATCTTTAAGGTCCCTTCCAACCCAACCATTCTATGATTCTATGACTGAGTATTCATACACATGTTTAGAGGAAAAAGCAAACCTACCTGCCAAGATTGCTTTTGTCTCTCGTCCTGTTGTTGGTTTCCACGCTGAGGTTATCACAAGATTTGCTCATCATCCCAGCAGAAAGGTTTTCCAGATTTGCTCCATAAAGCACATTCTCTGAACGAGACAGTCTCTGAACCAGGGCAAGGTGTTCACGTTGAGCTCCATATGCAGAATTTGATTTGTCTATTTCCATAAATTTACTTTCCTCTGAATAAGAAGGGAGCAGGGAGGAGGAAGGAAAGATAAATCCACTGATATTATCCTACTTTCTAAGCTCAGAGCTTCTTTCTGTCTAACCTTTTGAACATGCCAGCAAAAAAGATTGACATCACAGATATATTTATTTTGGTGTCTTTGAGGATATCTAGGCCTTGGAAAGGGTTTCCATCCATTTCTTTCACAGAAAGTATACACTGTATTTAGATTTCATTTCTATGAATTATACTTCAAATGAGCTTTCCACGAAGACGGATGAAATGTACAACCTTGTATAAATTAAATCTGAATATCTCTGTAAACAATATTTTGTAAACGTTTGGTGTATGAGAAATGTATGTCTGTCAGAGACTGAAACAGCCAGGTTGGTAGTTTCCCATCTTTTATGGGTCCACCACTCCAATATATGCATATCTGGGAAGCCAGGAGCTCTACTAACACATGCTCTCTTAGGTTCAGAGAGGGGCCAAGGAGCTGGCTGTTTGGTCTGAGTGATTTGCACAAGTAGGGGAGCATCTTGGTGGCAATGCTTGCTATCCAATTTTCTCCCTCTGTGTAAAATCTACTACTTGCTTAATGACATCTTATCCTCTCAAAAGATTTTATTTCCCTGAAACAAGGTAGTGCCACAGGAGCTGTTGTTAATTTATTTAGGTACTCAACTGGTGAGTTAGAGAGGGGATTTGAAGAAGCAAGGGAGAACCAGGCAACTGAAGACATTGTTGGAAAGTAACACAAGAGCCCTGCTTACTACAGGCTCGCACACCTATGGCCTTTAATTCTGCTTGTACCTGTCAGCTCACCCCATGTGTGTTTTCCTAGCAAATACTAGCCGGAATGCAACTTTCTAGAACACTACTCTGCAGCATTAAACCTAGGCTCCCTCTTTCCTCAGTGACTTTTGAGTGGCTTTTGTTAAGGCATGGGAAGACTTAACTGTCCACAGTATTAGCTTATTCTGAGAGTTTCCATGGTGATTTCAAAATAGGGAGTTGCTAGCAGGTTTTGAAGAGTTCGGGGCTTATACATGTGAACAGCGCAGCAGAAGGAAGAGTTTCCCTCATGCAGAAAGAGCCTTATAATCTCTTACAATCTCACTGTAGTTGCAAAGGCAGCATTTTGAACTACAGTCTATCATTGCCTTCACAAAGACTTTTTTCTGGGACAGCAAGCACGCACCAAACCTCATAAACTGCAGTCATGTGGCTTGTGTAAGTCTGACTGGTGCTCGTAGTCAGGACATGGATTATAATTTTCTTAGCTCTTCTTGTTCACTTATATAAGGAATGTAGTAATTTTTTATTAAGAAATATTACCACTAGCAAATGTGACACAGGAAATTTTAAGGTTAACTATTTTTATGCTACAAATCACAGTCCCACTAAGTTATGTTTGTAGCTACAGGACCACAAACAACAAAAGATGTCTTGAACTTGAATGTCTTCCTAGTGCCTTTTTCCGTGGTAACAAATTTGCAGAGGTGGAATTTCATTTTTCATTAAATAATTTTAATGGTGAATAAGCAATATATCAATCATTCTGTTCTATCCCATGATATAATTTAATTGCCAACATTTTTACAGTTTTACTAGAGGATGGAGAATCCCACCAGATAAAGCATGACACTTGATTCTCCTGCTATGACTTACTGGGTCAAATGTTCAGTAGGTGTAAATTATGATGATTCTGTTCAAGGAAAAGTACAAGACCTCAGCTAGTAAAAATCCATGTTTCTCCACTGAAGCTGAGTGGTGACAGTTGTCAGCTTAGGCTGTTATTTCTTATGTGCCTCAGTTGCCCCATAATGATCGTCACCCATCTTTATTAAGCATGCTGAGAACCGTGGGTGCAGGGTGCTATGTAACTGCTCTGGGTTGAGCAGAACCTTGTCTTACAAACTATGGAAAATCTGCAGTTTAAGGCGTAACAGAGCAGCTAGCAGCTACATAGCTGAGTGGATGTAATAGATCTGCTTTTGGTTTGGTGGTTTTGTCCTGGGACTGAACCACCAGGTTGAACCCCTGTCTTATGCAAATGTAATCAGTTAACTAAATTCAGCTCCGAGCATATCTGTGTGCTACTATAGTTACTCTGCTACTATAGTTACTCTTTGTGTGGAAATTTTATCAGGTTACATTTGGGCTCTGATATGTTTCTTCAGAATTCTCAGCAGGTTTCCTGAATATAAGTGTAAACGTGATATTTTTTCAAATCTGAATTTAATAATATAGTTATTATGACAGAACCCCTCCTCCAACCCCTGTACACACCATCACATGTTAAATTAGACTTACACACCTCTAACTTCCAGTGAAGTAGGAGACATTGATTTCTGCTCTGTGACCAAGAAACTGGAGCTCAGTGAAACTGATGTGGCAGGTGCTGATTCTCATCTTCACTGAATGCACCTTTCCTAAAACCTAACCTTGTCCTATGGCCTGAATAATGAAGGTGTATTTATACTGCACCTGATGAAGTTTGCCGAAGTTGCCTGGAATTCGTCTGTGCATTGAACTTGTGCTGGGCAGAGCAGAGGTCCAGTAGATATTTGCATGTCTTTGCTGTATCAGTAATGAAGGTGTGCTTCTTGCCACTGAAACTGCTTTCAATCATGAATTTTTTTCTCTAAAGGGGGGGGAAAAAAAAAAGCACAGCTTTCTTCATATATCAGTCATTACAGTGAGGCGCTGAAAGTTCATTTATATAATCTTGGTGATTTTTCCACTTGTATTTATGCCTGGCTGCATGCCTTTGGGTGCAGTAAATTCAACAGTTATTAGTGAGGTGTCTGTTATCGGGATCATAATTGCCCTATGTTGAAAGTCAAGTGCCTTTGGACATTGAATTGAGAGCAGATAGAACTGGCAAAATTTGGTCCTACAGATGTTAAATCGATCAAACCAATTTAACGTGAAAATGAAAATATCTTAAAGGGGCACAAGGGCCATTTTGGGAGAGCAAACAGTTTGGGAAATTTGTGATGCAGGTTGACACCTACACTGTGTGATGATAGGTTAATACACCTTTGATGGCAGAATACTGTTTAGAAGGGGTCACAATCTTTTCACCAATACTGGTTTGTTAACAGACATCGATATGCTAAGTGATGAGGATGGGAATAGTAAGATCTGCAAAGAAGGAGACATGATCTCATGACCTGATGTAGGAAGGAAAAAAAAAGATAAGGGATAGAGGAGTAAAGATGAGGGAGGAATGAATACGGAATATGCCATAAAGAGGCTTGACATAGTCTCTGTAATAGTCAACACCAGATTATTCAACTTCATAGTAATTTGACTCCAGCCTTGGCAAAAAACTCCAGAACAAATCTTCACTAACAACTGGATATCTCTGTATCCACATCCAGATCCAGCCTTGATTTTAGACTGTTTTCAAAAAGGACTTGTCTGTACAGAATGGGTCTAATACTGGCGCTGAATGGAATAAATTAGTGAAAGTGACAGGCAGAAGGGGTGTAAGGTAGTAGAGTGAAGAAAAGATTCACTTGGTTCCAACTCACATGAGCTGAAATTCTCTCTGTTTCACGCCACTGGAATCTTAAACTGGCAATTCTTGTGTGATTTTTGACCTCGTACACAATGATGCCTTTGGCACAGATTCCCAGGATTATGTCCCCTCCTGCTGCTTTCTTCTCTTGGGACACACGATAGAATAGCACTCCATATTCAGGAAGCTGCTGAGTCACCTTGTAGAGGAAAGAGAAATTTACCATGCATTGTTCAAAAAGAGGCATGGGGAGAAAAGGTAAGTAGATAGAAGGGGACAAAATAGTTTTGAGTGCCTTTACTAAATATTCTTACACTCTGTGAAGATACGTTTGGAAGCACTTACCAAATTTTCATACCTACTGTCTCACAGAATCATCGCCTTACCTTGGTATGTCATGGAGCCATTACATGCATTCATTTTTTATGTGTAAAATTGAAATAACATTTTCTCATACACCTCATTTGAAGAGGTAGGGGGATTATGTAGCTTCCTGCAGAACAATCTAAATGGTACAGTTGCACTGAGATACTCACCATTACCACTACGTGGCATTTGAGTGTATTTCTGAATAGAAACCCATGCTTAACTACTGTTAAACCTTTTTTCTTTCCATTTTATTTTCTGAGTCTTTGTTTTCCTGAGCAAACTCAGAAACCACAAGGTACAGCAAATATTATTATCTTAGTAAAACTGCTAATACTTTGGTGCCAAGGCTACTCTGACATTGTTATGGGTTTCTGCGGTTTCCTTTCTGCAATAGTGATGCCCAACTGGAAATCTTAACTGGAAACCACAGCTCCCAGCCTGCAATGAACTCATTCAGGTACATATACCCATTCCTTCATGGATGTCATCTTTTAAAATCAGACATTATAAATTTCCTTTGAAAAAAATCTTAAGTTACAGTGTTTGCTAAATTGTACCTCAGAGTATCTCACCTAAACACAGTGGTGACTTTTGAGGGAATTTCACTGCCTCAGTATTCCCTTCAGTGCTGGACTTAATAGTAGCACATAGTGTTACTTTGTTCTTGCACAGTGCTCATTGCTGGGTGAAAAGTTAAGTAGGATTATACTTCAAGGGACTGAGGAGCCATCTTCTGCCACTGCCATTTAACTGTGCAGAGGATACTCTAAGGAAACTTGCTCAGTTTCTAGGTGTTGTCTTCCTAGCTCCTTCATTCGGCCACAATATGTTAAAATGTGTCTTAGACCCTTTTCAGAACTATGGAATTATGGGGAAGGTTTTCCACCCTCTAATGTTATCTGCAGATCAATATGAGTTTATTCTAAAATGACTTTTTTTTTTTTTTTCTGGGAAGCTAGTTTAGAGTCCCTAAATGACTTTTCAACCATGAATAGAGATTTTCAGTGACCAAAATAAAACACTTTAAGAAGATCTATTTTTCAGAAAGTATCCAGAGCACAAATATTCAGGTCCTGAAAACTGGGGCATCTATAATCACTAGCTGAATCTGGGTTTTAATTTTTAATCCTTTTCATATTTGGAATTTGCATGTTATTGCCATAGGAGCTATCTTTCTCACTTTGTATGAAGTGTTGACTCCTTCTACAGACTTATTCATTGCAACAGATACTAACAAAGCTGCTTTTCTTCATTGGATTTGCCATGCATGATGGGACTGTCATTAAGGCTAAGCTTCAATATATTTCTTCAATTCCACTGACAGTGTTAGATGAGGAACTAACATAATTAAACTGCAACCAAACTAAAATGGCGCTATAAATAAAAGCATGTGGCACTGTAGCAAAATGCCTGCTGATATTTATCCATTACCTAATGCCTTTTCATTTGATGTAAAGCAAAGAAGTTTGGGAGAGAAGGAGAAGAAAAATTTAAATCCAACATCATCATGACACCCTGAAGAAATAGTCATGTGAGAAAATAGTTCAGATAACTCCTTCCTCACTTCCAGGGTTCACATATACTTTTAAACAAATAATCACTTCATATTTAGAAAGTGGCTGAACAGCTGCTATAGTTTTAGAAGTAAAGAAAGTGCTTATTCTCATGTTCTATAATAATTTCTAATACATTCAGTTAGGTGTATTTATCATCATCTGGAACCCAGACGTATTGATAACATGCTGAAAATTTGCATCAACCCTTAGGGTGTTGAAAATGCCTTGAAATATGCATTAACCATTTATAAACTATCAGTGAAAGGAAAACTACCATGTGAATATGTTGTAAATTATTTAGTGACAGTATCTACAGCAAAAAGAAATTCTGGATTTTTTGTTGACTATTCAAAGTTGTTCACCTTATCTAAAATCCACTCTATCAGACAGGAAGGAAATAATAGACAACAGTAAATAGGGAGAGGCTTTCTATCTCAAAATAAATAAATTATGTTTGGAGTGTGGCAAGTTACCTTCAAAAATTCTAGTTCAGCTTCATCCTCAAATAGGGAACGATTCATACGATGTAATTTAGCAAGCTCTCGCTGTATGTATGCCAGGGTCATTTTCTCTATTCGGCTTACTGGAATGTAGTCTTCCACACGAAAATAGCTCTTTCCATGCATCTTTGGGAGAAAAGGGAAAGCAGACAAACAAGCAAAACAAACACAAAAGAGAGAGGAGCCTTTTGTTCTTTTCTGACCTTTCTTATTTGGTGCATTCCTATTTCCAGGGTGCAGGTATGCTGAAGTCACACTGTTGCCCTTTTCTTAAAGAAGAGGGGCAACAGCAGGTAGTGTTCTGACAGCCAAAAGGGCCTCTCACACCTGTGCTCAGCCAGGTACTCAAAGCACACACTACTTGGCTGTTCAGAGGGGGAGAAAAGAGCTGGGCCTGCAGGCATGCCTGCCGTCTTGCACTTCGAGTTGTCAGCTACAGCTGCATGAGTACAACCTACAGTGGGGGACCCAGTGCTGGGATGGATCTGACCAGATGGATCAGACCACTCAGAGTTCAATTAATAGAGTTACACTGGTTTATGTAACTGAAGATATGGCAGAGAACATAAATGGCTGTTTTCTGTACACTTCAGAACTAGGATAACTAGTTCAGATGTACCATCAGCCACCTTCCTCTATTTGCAGCTTGTGGATCTCAGCCTACACACAAAATAGCTGTGAATTCTGGAGTGTTTATTTATTTTTCTCTTCCATGTTTTCAAATCTCTCTAAGCCCCTCTGTACATCCAAGCTGTTCCTATGGTAGAAATTTTCTACAGGTTTTCTGGAGTTTCTTGGCTGTTATCAATTATGAAGACCAAAAAGTTTTTCATCATTCTGCTGTATTTCCTGCCAAATTAGTCTGGGTCACTACTGCTCCTTAATCAGGCAAATTTTGTAAATTTTTAATTTAAATTTGAAATGTGATTACTGAAGGACTTAGCTGCAATTATGTGCTATTCACACTTCTTCTTTAACTCTATGTGACAAACAAAAGCTTCAAAAGCTGTTGAGAGAGACCTCTAAGAAATATTGTATTATTTATCACACCTCAGAAGCATAATTGCCAAGCTCTGCCTGTAAAGCCAAAGCGCCAAGTTTCAGGGCAGTCTCGTCATTGCAATATAATCGCTCCTCCAAAATATCTTTACGAAGCTGCAGGTAAAACTGGTGCCTTGTCAAGCCATGCCTGTAACACAAAAGGGTTTAGGAACACAGAAGTAGCTTTGAACAGTCACCCTAAATGCTACTGGGTTTTCTGCAGTCAGCAGAACTGTGCACTTACTGGATAACATTAAAGTGATTGACAAAGAATTTTATCCTTAGAAATGGAGGTTTTCTTCTTGGGTTGGTCATTCCAGCCATCCGGGGCCACTTTATAGAGTTTTGTCTCCTCATCCAAAAAGAAGAATTCTTTACCTGAAATGAGAATTTTGGGTTGTCTGATAAGTCTGGAGATAATTCAGTACCTCAAAGTTTTGCTGTCTTCATTCAGTGTATCACTCGCAATAAAACATAAAATGGATCATGGATGTCGGTTAAAATTTACTTATCAGTGTCATGGCTTAAATTATTGGTTCTTTGATGGAGAATTTAGGATGTGTAATCTAGGATTACAGTTGTTAGATGCTGGATTAGTGTGGTATCTATGGAATCACGCAAGAATTGTTGGGGTTTGCATTCTGCTCACCATTCAGGTTCTGCACCCCATTGTAATGTTTATGCCCTATACACACACGCAGTGCTTCTTCCTAGTGCCTCAGCCATGCTTGACATCATAAATAGGATAGGGAGATGTGGGTCTTGTAGATGAAATAGCTGAGTCCATATTCAGATTTATATCTAGGAACAAAGACAGTCAGCCTTCCTCAGTACAGTGCTTCCTGGAGTTTGTCCTGGAGCTACACAGCTCAACATTATTCTAGGGGAAGGCTGGGACACAGCCTTTTGTGCATGGGAATATCAGCAGTAAGAGTATGGCTGTGCTGTGGCACAGTCCTAGGGTAGATATGTTTTACATTAGTGCAGTACAGTTTAAAAAAATGCACCTTACTTTTGCTTAAGCTTTGGATCTGCTTTCATCTGAGAATCTTAAAGAATTTTGCTGGAATTCATCAACAAAGTGACTACAGAGACACTGAGGGAAAGAACTGTTACTATAGCTAGCTGTGTCTCATTACCTTTCAGGTAAGCCAAGCCAAAGTAGAAGTGTTCCACCAAGTTCGCATATGCCACCACGGTGTTGAAAACATCTCTTGCCTTGGACTTGATGTCACACTGCACCTCAAGGCACTGCCCGTTGAGTAGAATCACATTGAGATCCCTTTGGGACAAATAGGATTTCCCTTTTTTAGTCTAAGAACATGTAATAAAGAGTGGAGAATGAGTGTCAAGTACAAGCAACGCAAGTTCCCCAGCATTTTATTACTGAGGCCCTCTAGTCTCTTATCTCCATAGCCTGATGGAATTGATCACAACACTCTGCTATTCCTTGCCTCCCTTCTCATAGATTAGTATCCTAAACATTTCTAATTTAAAAAAAATCCAGGGAATCCCAACAAAAGAGCTGAGCATACTCAGACTTTACAATAATGAGGGTTATTCTAGATTTGAGGGTATTCCAAATTTTCTTTGCCTTCATTTTTACTGCTCTATGCTGTCAGCCTTTTAACGTAACTTAATGAAAGGCAGAGGATGTCCCTGAAAGCTGAAGTCCAATATATTGGCAAGAGATGTCCTATTACATATTTGCTGTATAATCTTCATCTCAAAAGTCTTGTGCTAAAGTGAGCATTCTTAGGTCAGAAGGATAAATGCAGCTATTTTCACACCAACAGAAATAGCTATGTGGCACTGAGAAATAAAAGGCCTTCTTTCAAGTCTCAATGCCTCTGCAGGAACCCTAACTTGTTTTGGGAGGAGGAGATGGCAGGAATCCTGGGTTGGGACTGAGATGCAACTTACAAAGAGCCCCAACAAAAGGTCACTATATTAGTTCTAAATTCTTTATGTTCATACTTACCACAATTGATCCAGGTAGCTGTAAGGTCACTGGTGGTTCACTAGATAAAATAATAAATTCTGGACCTGAAAACTGAAAGGAGGCAATTTAGAAATCTAATAAATGTGTCCTTAATGTAATGAAGATCCCAAACATCAGTAACAAAGAAAACCATGTCTGTTGATCTGTTTGCTGTAGCTAATTGACATCAGCGTATAATAAGGTGCAAATTCTGGTTGAAGACTTCTCTCTGTTTGGGGTTTCTCCTGTGTGGACTCTCGGGGGTTTAATTACGTCATGCTGAAGCTGTTTCTTCTGTAAAGGCACTTAACCAAGATCCATTTCCTTTGCAAGGCACCTATTTTCATGGCAGAGAAACCCAGTTTCTTCTGAGACATTTTCCCATTTGATTCCCACCTTACTATGAAGACAGACAAACACATGTACACACATACATACACACTGCTGTGATTACATAAGCCTAGCTTCCATAGGAAACCAGACTAAAATGCAGAGCTGCTTTCTTCCTTGTAATGAGGGTTGACCGATATTTTTATTAGCAGATATTGTATTCTTTTGCTTTAACTTCAACAAACTTAGCAGCACAAGATGCTTTTTGTCTTGCTAAGCATCCACCTCAAGGAATTTTGCATATTGGGTTTTTTTCAGGTTTATCTATACTTTTAAGTCCTTGAAGCAGACAAAAATAACTGGATTTCTGCAAGCAGTAAGACGTGGATCCTTCTAACCATTCGCAAGGACAGTACCTTGATGCATTTAGATTTTTTTTTTGAGAAAATGTATGGTTTGTTTCATAATACTAGTGTTGTCCTGCCAACACACAATGCAGTTTTGTATCACATATAAAGAGGAACTAGCACTTTGTTGTAACAGTTGCTGGACTCCTTCTGAGAAACTCAATTATTATCCTAGCAAAAATCATATTAACAACATTTAAAACTAAATCTGTATATAAAAAGACAATTTCCCAAACTATCCAACTGAAACTCTTGATCAAAGTTCTGCTACTGGACAGTCTTGGGCTTGTGAAAGGATTCACCAGCCTAAACCCTGTCCCTTTTATTTCCACAACAGAAAACTACATGGGGAGCAGCATCATGTTTTTTTCTGTGATTCAGTTACTTCTGGATTTTTGTGATCCAACTGCTAAAGAAACATTATCCTTCCCATTTAACAAAATCCTACAACAAATCACCAACTAGAAATAGACCCTTAGGTGGTTAGTGGTTTGGCACACTCACTACTAGCATGTGCTTTCTGTCCAGGCATACACTGTAAAAAAAATTGAAGTCCTTTCAGCACCATTAACCAGCAAGTGTTTAGGTTCAGCATCTCTGTAAATGTTTCTGCTGTTCTGAAGCTCCTGTCAAAGTAGTTTATGAAAACAGTCTATATTGTGTTTTCTGCTTGCAGAAATCACACATGTAGTCCAGAGGGGATTCAGTTATAAGCTTTTGCTTAGTCTTTATAGTCAAGAGCTTTCACTGCCTTCAGTTCTGAGTTATCGCGATTGGATCATGCATAATTTGGAGTCTGTTAATTTAGAATACCCATCTAATAAGATGACTCAGTAGCTAATATGCGCATCGCTGGTCAATGACAACTGGATAAGAGGTTTCTCTTTAGTGATATTTACATTTTTAAATTAGCTCATATGTTTTTCATTAGTCACCTTTTCCTTCCTGTGGAACAAACATTTTTGTGATGCAACAGCTGCTGTGTAGTCCTTTGTAGACACGGAAAAGGTGGAACCTAAACTTATCAGGTTCTGTCTGCTGTTCTTCTGAGTTCCACCAGGGATTTCTTCTACAGCGCTGACAGACCTTCAAAGGAAATCTCATAGTGAGCAGTATATATATATATATATATCAGCCAATCAGACAGTGCAGACCTGGGAACAAAGAGTCTAAGGTACATTGACTGGCAGAAAATTATAAAATCCAGGGCAATGCCCGTTATAAGTTGTTAAATGTTTCTTGACAGAAAAAGAAAAGTAATTTCACAGGGATAATATTACTGATTACTTTCATAAATAAATCTAAATTATGCTTTAATTAAATAAAAGTTAGGTTGGTTTTTATTTGGTGAGCCAAATCTAGCTTAATTATGGTAAAGCCAACTAGCAAAGAGTTTTGCCCCATGCCTTTCTGGTAATTCTACAGGATGAAGTCTGTTCCTCCTTTCTTATTTTCTGAAGCAAGATGCTTCAGAAAACCATAACATTTGTTGTTACATTATTCAGAATTTTCCAGGAATAGGAACTAAATTATTTGAATACTAATTCATTATAATAAATTAATGTCTTATAGAACTGAGGGAATTTTTAATTTAATTAAGAGGAAGATGTGTGAAACCTCAGATCAGAAAGCTGTCTTTATACTATACTTTTAACCCATAAAGTAACAGTGTTTTCCACATGAGCAGAAACATGTATGCTTAGAATAAACATAAACTTAAAATACGATATATACTCTTACCAGTGAGGAAAGAATAGTTATAATATGGTATAGAAGGAAAGTGTTTTTTTGAGATGGATTTTTAATTACATTTTTAACAAATTACAAAGTCACATGGAAGCTTTTTTTATCCTACAGTTTTATCCTTTCTTTTGCATGTTGCAGAGTTGCTTCAGGAAACTCTTCAGGGATTTGCAAACGGTTTTTAACAAAATTATTGGAGTTGTTGCTGATCTCTTCTTCCTGATATCCAGTGACAGGGCACATGGAAACAGTTGAAAGCCATGCCAGGGGTAGTTTAGGCTGAACATTAGGAAGTATTTCTTCATCGAGAAGGTGGTCAAACACTGGAACAAGCTTCCTAGAGAGGTGGTCGATGCCCTAAGACTGTCACTGTTTAAGAGGCATTTAGACAATTCCATATCAATTTAGATAAAAACTTGTCTTAATTTTTGGCCAGCCCTGAAGTAGTCAGGCAGTTGGACTAGATGATTCTTGCAGATATCTTCCAGCTGAATTATTCTATCCTATCCTATCACATCCCGCATTCCTCTGTCTATAAAGATATTCAGATTCTTTTGTTTCTCTCAATGCAACCTCATAAATATCAACATTGAACTAAGTATACCTAAAAATGACCTGAAGTGACTTTTGTGGCTACAAAAATACTATTAGTTCAAAACCCAAAATACTGTAGTAGGAAGACTTTCTTCTCCTATAGAAAACATTCCTGTTAGTCCAGTGAGGTGAGAGATGTCAGACTTGACAGCTGTGTCTTCTCTATATATAGGCTATAGCCCCGCAAACATAGTCCTTACAAACTTATAAGAAATAATTATGTCAGTTGGACTGCTTACAAAATTGACCATGATAATGTTAGTAAGCTTTACAGATAATAAACCCATCACCACGTTTTATATTCATTATCTTCGTATATGGGCAGGTGGTGGTTTCCAAACAAATTACTTCAACTCCACTGTTATCATGTTACTTAAAATATGATGGTGACCTTGGTAGAAATTTAATTGCAGATGCTTACAACCAAAACCAGTCCCTGAAGTTCTATGGGAAACAGTTTGCTGCAAATTTGGTGAAAAAAGTTCAACTTTCAGCAGAGGAGGGGAACATTTTCTTGGCAGCATGATTTTAGATCAAGGATTTCAAGATGATACCTGACTGGTAGTCAGAGGCATGGCGATTGCTCCAAAATGCTGAGTAAATAAACTTCCTGTTACTTATATCATTGCCAGGTGTGTGATGCATATATAGATGTCGGTGTGCACACATATGTGTGTGTAGTTATACAGGTAGACAGTTCTTTCTTCACAAAAGCTGCCACTGTCCAGCAACCTGCTTGTAATTCTTTCTTATTGCAGGTTTAGAGGTGTACTTGGGTATCTCACATCACTCAGATTATTGTGACTGGTTTATCAGGAAGTTCAAGCAGTTTACTTGGGATACATTTAATTGGGAGTTGATCTAAATGGAGCATTTCCTGTGGGCCTGAATCACTCATGTCATGGTTAAAAGAAGAAACTCCTATTTAACTGGGTCAAGAACTCGATTTAAATGGGATGCCTGTAGGGATTACATGGTGCTTAACTATGGGTTTCTGGTCTTTGTGGTGCCTAGAGGCTATCAGTACTTACATCTCTTCTTCATTTGGAAACAGCCATGATTACAGCTACACTATGCTAACACCCAGTATAGGAAACACTTGTTTGGCAGCAGTGGTGTTTGCCTGGCTTTTAATAAGGAGTTAGTATCAGTTGTACAATTCTCAGTTTTCTTCGTCAATGTACAGGGCTGCTGTACATGCCATGGCTGAAATGAGGTTAATCCTCGTGACAGAGCAGAGGTCTTTACTGTTTGTGTCCCTGGGTTACCTGTAACTCTTCAGTAAAGTGTTAGCACAGGGCTGGATATGGCTGACACAAGTGAGGCAAAACTGAGAACCAAGATGGAAATGCAAATAATCCACTCAAAATGATGGATCATATACACGGTCTGTTATAACCACTTCAGAACACATCAGGCCTCTGCTAATGTGACAGCAAGGCAAGACCAGATCCAGAATCTGAATGTAGACAAATACAGACTGCAGAATGCCTTGTCAGTGAAAGCAATGGCTGTCCAAACCTTTTCAACAGGATTTTCCCTTCTACACTCTTCCTGCTTCTTCAAGCTGCTTCCCCCTTGCTTCAGTCACAGCAAGCTATCGCTGCTTAGCTGTCTGATTCTGATGGAGACATGCTAGGGCAGCTGTTCTGGGAGGCCAGTGACATCTGACAGGGCGCGGTGGTAAAGAGTAAAGGTGCCAAACTTCAGTGTGCCTGTTTTGTATGGATTGTTCAGTGCCCAAGCTCCATTTCACTAGAGCATTTGGACTCCTTTGCTTGGAGCCAAACATCTTAGGAGAGCTTTAATTCTACTTGTCAAAAGAGGTTCAGATGGTGATCCAGGCATTTTCTGAGAATGATGTTGCTATGCTAGTTGTCTGCTTCACTTGGTAATAAAACAGCTTCCATCTTTTAGGAATATGAGTTTTGATTACCTGTTTATGAAGAGCTTGTAGCTACTTTGTGTCCTTGACCCACTAAGGGTGGGGTCCCATGACTTGTGTGTCTGTGGAACTCTCCCTGAAATGAATAAAGGAAACTTCACAATTGAAGCAATTGTAGTAGCACTCAGTATCAATCTTGGGACAATTACAACAAAGAGGAAATTTAGGCTGACTACTTCTTTTATGTCCTTGCTCGGGCATGATAAATGGTTATTTGATAAGGCTAACTGAATACTACACCATCAGTATTCCCAGTTCTATAGTTATTGTTATTTCCTCTTCATAACTCTCCATGTGAATGTAATCTGGAAAATAGCTGTGTAGGTGCAGTGGCTGTTATTTCCATACGTATGGGGGTAATTTGTGAAACAGCTTTCTTCAGAAATTACCCCTGGTATTCTTTGTTCTTCTATTTCTAGGCATAATTTCGGGGTGAGGGAAAGCCATGAAACTTCTCTGGCCTAATCAGAGCAGAATATAAAACCACTGAAAGGAAAACTAAATATTCCACTGATTAGTTGCTGCATTAAAAATATTGTGAATGTTTTTACATCATAAAAATCTGGTGGGAATATAGGATGATTTATGAGTCAGTAGCAAGTAAGATTTGTATAATTTTTCACCTTCAGTCACCTCTGCTGCTACAGAAAGGATTGTCATTGCTTTGTCTAAATACAGGAAGGCTGAAATTGACAGGTAGAACCAGAAAATTTTATGCAAGTGGTGGTTTCATGAACATGTCTTCTAGCAGCAGAGATGTTTTAAATCCTTTTGGGAAGGGTGGGAAGGCTAAATGTTTCTTCAATTGGATCATTTCATTGATATTATTTGAAGAACTGTATATCAAACTATGTCATAGGCAGAATGATAGATGTGATAAGATGATCTATGTGGAAGCAATCATATAGGTCTGCTTTTCTCTGGATAAAATATCCATGAATTACACCCTGAGACTTCACTCTGAATTCCAACATGAAAACATGTCATTGGATTCTGGTATACCCACCACCAATTGCAATTTTAAAACCAAGAAAATCTACAGTTACATTCCTAAAATATACATAAACATGTTTTTCAAGCTGCAGATGGTAGTGACAAAATGTGAGATTTGAGATAAGCCAGATAGTCAGGGCTAGTTACCAAAGTTAAGATTCAGTTTTGTGTTCTGAAACTGCATGCTTTTTAATGAGAAAGCCGTGCAAAACTCTCTTCCTACACTATAGGTTTCACATAATTGTATAAATATACTTTGTTAAGCACATAACATTCCCCTTATTTTTTCTGTCTTTGATGCTATGGGAGTGGGATAAGTTGGCTTGTTTCAGTGGCCAGACTGCCATGTTTTGATCACAAATCCAATGCGTTCCTGATGTCTTAGCTACACATGGCCCTCAAAAAAGTTGATCCTGTAGATGATTAATATATTGTATGTTAAATGAGGTTCTTAAGGACAGTCTGGATGGGAGATATTAATGTCCCTTGATAACGCTGCTCTACAAGCTAGTAATATTTCTTTTCAGAGAAAAATGAACTTTTCTAATATATTATCTCATTAAAAACGTGTGTGTCAAACAAGCTTTCACATTCTGTGTTTTGTCCTGAACTTCTAGAATTTTGTCTCACAAAATCCTTAGTATGAACAGCTACCGGTGTTTCAGGGGAGACTGAGACACACAGAGATTCACTGGAATGAGCCTTTGCCAAATTTATGACCAAATATTTTTTAAAAGGACTTACAAATCAGGCTGCTGAGTTTACGTTTACTATGTGCTACTAAGTATGCGTCACACAGGGAGCAGCTGCAAACTCAGGTTTTTATTGCTGCTGATATTGATTGCAATTCTGGAGCTTCAGAAAAGCAGCGTCTTTCAGGAGGAGAGTATCAGCAGCAGTTCTATGAGTAAACTTACCTTCCTTCTGCTTGGGGCTGAGAGGCTATTACATGTTGGCTGGAAATTAGACCCTTGAGATCATGCTCTGTGCCTTTCATTTTTGCCTAGTAAATTTTAAACATTTCAGATTTGGAAGAGCAAAGATTTCACGACAATCAACAGCTGAATATGATAAACTCTTACTAACACTCCCCAGTGACAAAAGGCAAGGAAACTCGGCAGTTTTCTCTTATTTATGGCATCAATGAACTAACCAGTTGCTGTGCATACCTTATTGCACTGTAACTGATGTAGTGGATGCTAGGGTTATTGACTTAGGGAAGAAATTTGTGCGATAAAAACACCCACACACACTTAACAGAGCACGTTTCAATCCATGCCACAGAAGGACCTAGTGCGTTGTTGCTCGTGGAGGCAGGAAGTAAATTCCAAAGTACACAAATAGACTTCCACCTCTGGGTCTGGAAGCTCAGGAAAAGTGCCACAGGCAGGACAGAAAAAACAGTTGAAGTACATGGGAGGGGTGAGTAACTGTGGAATGGAAAACACAAATGGGCAGGAGTCTGAGAATCGGGAGCTGGCATGCTAAACATGTTTTTTTAGGAGACGCTGATAACATTTGGCAAGAGGAACTTTTTTCTCTTGGGCAGTATGAATGTCTGCTCTAGGTGTCCGTAGCTCAGATTCCTTTTTAAACATGAAGATACACATGCACAGCAGAACTCCCCGTCCTGGTGAATTCCCTTCTTTCCTCCATAGTATTCCCCTATACTGTGATTTAAGTGACTTGAGAAGGACCCTGACTGATGTCTGCTACAGTGTCTTCACTGAATGGATCCTCTCCCAGATAGTTTTTTTCATGCTGTTCTTGCCATAAAAAAATTGAAAGTGGAACTAAAATTCCAACTCACATATCTCCAAAGTAAATCAGAAGAACAGCATTGCAACCTGGCATTTATCACAATGAAAACAACATGCTGAGCAGGAAATACACAATGGCTTTAGGGCATAAATAAAAAGGGTTGTTTTATTCCTCTTAGATTTCAGAATTAGTCTGTTTGGTTTTGAATGGGCTTGAAGAAACATTAATTCCCACCATTCAAGTCCCAGGTGTTATTCATAGATTCAACTGATTTCAGTGCTGCCATCTTGACATTGCCCACCATATGCATTTCTGGGGTAGCTTCACCATTTCTCATCTGTTTCAAGAACCCAAGTGCCAGAAACATGCTGCCAGACTTTGCCTGTGATCTGCTGAATAGCTTCACCTGGCAAAGTGGGCATAAAGCAAGAAAGAGTGGTGGCATGGCAACCAGGGAATAAACAGCTTAAGACAAGTAAAAAGGAATCCAGTATAAAAGGAACTTTCTTCTCTGCAGATTTTGCATAAACATACCTCCCTAGTCACCTAACTACAAGTGCATGGGAGTACCTATCACCTGTCCATACATGGGTAGTCTCATATTTTAGGGAACAAAAGAGATGAGTACATAATTCATAAACATAATATTTCAGGAAAATCTTACCTCTCCTGTGTCCTCGGTTAGATAGTATCAAAGAGGTACTTTCAGAAATACTATTAGAGTCACTGTAGTCCACAGATAGTTGTCTGTAATCCTCTGTTGACCGACTGTAATTCATTAATCTGGACCCTTTGTCTGGAAACAGAAAGAAAATATGGTGAATCAAATACTTTAATTCTAAATCATTGTATCTGCATGATAATATAAATAACATTTAGCTTGACAAATTTCTGTAAAGTCCATGTCTGTCTGTCTTCTGACCCTGACTTCAGTTCCTTATGGACCGAGGAAGGCTTGGTAACTTCATTCTATTACTTTCATAATCTTATTCTGACCCAAAATAGTTCTCATAGTTCTCCTCAAATATTCCAAATAAAACAAATATAATACTTTAGTTATATTCTGCGTGTTTAACTGAAATGTTGCGAAGTGCAGATAACCTGCAAAGTTCTACTTCCTTATACGCTGAAGCCCAAAACTTTCAGCTATAAAGTACTCTTTCTGTGTGCTGGATGGACAGCGTCCAGACACAATCCACTATGAGAGTCAGCTGCAGAAATTCCATTAAGGGGTCATCCTAAGTCATTAGGAAGTATATATTTCTGTTGCATCCTAACTTAACTTTAGTTGCTTTGTCTCCTGTCCTTTTCCAGAATATCTGAAGGTGATAATTTTTAATTTAAAAAAAAAAGAAAGAAATGGAATGCTGCCTTGAAAAGTGTGGCTCACACATTCCCAGTGTAATCAACATCCTGATTCACTGAAGCCCTTAGGCAAGTGTAAGCCATGTGACCTGAATCCCTAGAAAACACAGAGATCACCCCAGATACGTAATCACTCAAACCAGTAGAAGGGAATTTGTGGCTAATAAGGTGTTGAAGATGGGACCGTCCCTTTTGGCAGCAGCAGAGTTTTCACCAGGTTATGCATGTATGAATCTATAAGCTCAGTTTCTGAATGAGTGAGCCAATATGAATGTGGGTTGGTTTGTCTGTATGTTTTCAGAACAATCTTCTTTTTTTATGACCAATAAGAATAGAACCTAATAGAAATATTCCACAGGTATGTATGGGTGTGTTTAATTGTAGATGAAGTTAATGGGTTGTATATGTGATTTGCCGAATAGAAATATTTTTTTTTTCATATGCCTAATGTTGAGTGTATCCAAAAAAAGAAGCCTGCATAGCTTGGACCAACCTTCTCCTTGCCCTAGAATCAGAGACTTCTGTTGAAGTGAACAGTACAATATAGAGACTAGAAAAAAGAATGATCTGATCCTGAAGTCCATCTTTAGTTACAGTTAGGAATTTACTCTGAGGATTAATAAAATCTTGATCTTAGTCAAATGAAATGTGAAATTAGTATATGCTGGTTTATTTATATAATGAGCAGAATTTGGCCTTGTGTCTTGAAATCACTCTACCAGCCCATATGTGAATTTATAAAACATCCTTTGAATAGAAAAATGGAACTAAAATTAAAGGGGAAAAAAAACCCAACAACTACAAAACCAACAAACCAAAACTACATAAATATTTCCTTGAGTAATCAAATAGGCAGGATGAATATATATTTCTTAATGGCAACAGGATAACTTCAAAGAATCCCACTCTTTACCTTTGAAAATGCACTGGAGCATACAAAGTACACAAGCCATTTTGAAAGTAGTTTTATTTTATATGCACAGGTTTTATGCAAAGTGCCTTAAGAGCCGAATCTGTGCAAGCTGATTTGTTATCATTGCTTCACAGCCCTCAGACTACTGTCCTTTGAGAAAACAGGGAACAGAAACGTTGTTGTCTTGCCTCAGAGTCTTTCCATTATGCAGTCATTTATATGTAAGGCAATAAATGTCCTATCCAACACTACATGTAACCACTACAGCATGAAATTAAACAGTTCACCTAGCTGGGGAAAGACTCAGAAAAGGCTGGCTGTATCATTATTAGACAGTTCAAATTATAAGTTTTTTTTTTACCTTGGTGAAAATTCATCTGGGAGGACAGTGGTGAGGTGTCTGATATTTTCTCATGCAGTCTTTTCCTTATCACATGACTTCTGTTAAGCTGAGAGGCTGTGCTGTCTTCAGTGACTACCCGCTCTACCTAGAAGACAGTAGTACTGCAAGTCAATGTCATATGATACGTGGACTTCAGACTCTCATACTGAAGTGATCCTTGCTCTCTGCTTGTCAGAGGCTGCTGATTTGCTTGATATAAGCAACTTCGTTTTCTCAGATTAACACAAAGCAGGATTGAGTTTTGATGGCTTCATGGTCTCATGCTAGCTGTGTTTAAGAGAGGACGCCCTCTGTTACAGCGGGAAATAAAGTGTGTAAGAGAAAAGGCCATCTCAGAATGTTAATGAATCCTGCTTGAAAACAAAACAAAAAGTATTTGCAGCATGTTTTCTTCCAGTTTCATTCAGCTTGTCAGCAAAACTGCTGGTATTTCAAATCTTTAAAAAGACTCAGGTGTTCACTTATGAATGACTTCATGTGGTCAGGCTTAATTGCATGGCAAATGTTCAGCTCCACTCAAGGATGAATGAAATTCTCAGTATGATGTAAATGTGATTTCTTTGAATTTCACAAAGTCTGAAACCAGAGTGGCAATGAGGAAATCTTCTCTTGTGTAAAGTCCATTCCTTTGGCCATTGTGAAGTCTCTGTAAATGTTATGGTTGCTTCAATATTAACCAAAGAAATGAAGGTACTGTAAGTGCAAGCACTGGATTTGTATCATTTCCAAGGAGTTTAAGAGTGGTGTGAGACATGCCTTCATTCCCTCATTGACTTATACACATGCCCACTCAATTTCCTGCTTAGAAGTCTAGAACCAAATCTCACTTCCTCAGTTTTTACAAGCATTCATTTCAGGCACTTGCTCACCTGTATCCCATGTTGCTGCTTACTTCTCTCGCTAAAGATAAGGAGACAATTACTGTATGAGAGTAGTACCTACCTCACTTCCCACAGCAAACTGGACCATTTTCTTTATGTAGACATTTGCTGGGAAGGAAGCAGATTCCTTCTGATGTGCCTCACATACTTCCAGAATTGATTCAGGAGAAAGTCTTTTATGTGGCAGATCTTCACATAGTGTCAGCAAGAGTGTGTGTAGTTGGTCACTCAGCTGGAGAGACTGAGACAAAATGAAGACACTGTCAAATGACATCTCTCAGTATTATGAAATCATGTGTAAACTGGGACCAGCTATTTCTGTAACCCTTTCACCTTGAGTGAGAAGTGGGCGCTTCCTTTAGGCTTTGGGAAATTTCCAGACAGGCAGCATAACAGCACTAAATCGAGCCTCCAATGGGATCCAGGATAGCCTTGGAAGGAACTGGCATGTACAAGGAGGTTCATCAGCCTGTACAGGGCCTTCTTGGTGACAACAGCTCAGTCTGATCCACAGCTTTGCTAATTAGGCAGCGAATCTTACAGATTCATGCAAGTAAGACGTGGCAGCAGTAGCTTCAAAAAGGTGAGGAGTTCTACCAGCCAAAATTATTGCCATAGAGACCAGGTATATAAATTTTGGAGTAATTTAACTTATAGAGACTTATCTCTTAAACCACATATACACATGAAGGGAGGTTAGATCTACTAAAAGCTTGTGTTCTCCAAATCAAAAATATGCAATCAAAGGCAATGATATAGAAATGAAGCAAAATGTGGGACACAGGTCTTTGCAAAGATTCTGGATAAACAATAAATGCAAAATTTCAACTAGCAGAGATGCTGGTAGAATTTGCTCAGAAATAAGAAGTGTTATTTAGGTTTATTCCAGCATCATGTTCTTTGAAAATGTACATAAATGTGCACAGAATCACAATCATGCTGACATAATGTTTTTCTTTTATCTCTTCCTATCTTAAAACCATAGAAATGTTTAGGTTGGAAAAGACCTTTAAGATCGTGGAATCAACCTTGTGCTGCCAAGCCCACCACTAAACCATGTCCCTAAGCGCCACATCTACATGTCCGTTAAATACCTCCAGGGATGGTGACTCAACCACTACACTAGGCAGCTTGTTCCTTATTAGTCTTGGAATAAATCATCATCACTCTTAAAAGCAAGGTACAATTCATCTTAATGGGAATAATCCTGGCTTTTGAAGAAAAAGGAAAAAATAATTGAAAGTAAAGGTGAGGCCTAACTGAATTCCTAATTTGGATGAACTGGTGGTTTTGGTGAAGTCTGGACCTTGACACAAGCATTCTAATTCTTTCTAGTGTTCCAAAACATAAAGCTCCTCTTACTGAGACTTCAGAGTATACCTCTCAGTCTTTGAACATAATGATATAAAACAGAATAAATACAAAAAGAAAGTTTGTGTTACTGGCCTGGTTTGGAGGAACCTGGTAGTCTGCTGACCAATAGACGGTCATTCCTAAGGAATACACCAACATCTGTCAGAACAGAAAAGGAAACCCCTTATGAAGTCAGCATTAAATGCAGAAAAGCCTTGTACTAGAGAAACCATCTTTTTGTGCCTTTGGTCACAAAATGGCAGAAGACAAACAGATCATTTTTTAAAAAACTAGACTAGAGGAAACATATATAAAAGCACATTAGTGACTCTTGGCTTATGGACTAGATAGCATGCAATGAGTATTGCTCAGCTTGAGGGGCTGAGTCAGGCTGCTTTCTATCCAGTGATTAGGAAAAGAAATTTCAACTCCTTTCTTAGTTTTGAAGCTCTCCCATTGATGATTAAAGCTCTTTCCTACCTGACTAGTAGTCAAGCCCAGAAGGAGAATTACTGAAATAAGGGCCCTCTATTCCAAAGCTTCATATTTCTGCATAACATTTATCAGTTATATGGGAGTCTTAAACTATTGTCTTCTGCCTGAGGGAAGTACGCACTGGTGTGGTCATAGTGCTATTTAAAACTTCTAGGTACCAGACTGTTGTATCTTACTGTCTTGCCAGAGACACTCATTTGGCACGGAGAAGAAAAGTAAATTGTTAACAAAGCTGAACATTATTTCTGACTTCTGGAAGTGCTTCCACTCTCTATATAGATAGTATACAGTCCTGCTGTTTCTGGGACTAAAATTACCATATCTGGTCAAAAATCATGTTCATAAAAATATTCTTCCTATCTGTAGGCCTTCACAATTAATATATTTCTGCAGACCTTGAGGACTGATGTTCAAAATTGATTTTGATGTTGACATGCACGCGTGCTAATCTAATGGCAAGCTGCAATATACATGTAAATCTGTCTAACTGTAGCCTAGTTTGTTTAAAAATGTAGTTTGACAGTAGATACCTGGTGTGCTGCATTAAAACCCACGAGCTTGTCTTCATGAGGTACTGTCAAGATTCATTTTGTAATATACCTCACCTTTGTTAGTCCAATGCGCTGGTTTTTACTTTGTCTGTGGAGCAATTCCGGTGCACTGAAAGGGACGGTTTCCATCTGAGGTGCATTGTTTTGGAAGGACAGATTTCCTTCAGCAGACAGTAGTACTGACCATGGACAAATCACACAGATGACAGGGTCTGAAAAATGTTGAAGATGATGATGGAGTTCTTAGTGTTGAATTCCTTGCACTCAGAAAATTGTATTGCTAGCTTCTCACTTTCATAGTCAAACCAGTTTCCTGTAGTACCCAGAACTCAGTGGAATCATGTTCATTTATGCCCAGCTGATTTTGTCAGCTGGAATTCAGTGATGGTTAAAGACTTGATTTCTCTCTCACATTATCTCAAACGTAGAAACAACATACTGATTTGAGTGGATTTCTGAAGCCTAAGGAAAGGCAGAATTACATCCCATGTGCAGATTCTGGAGATCTTGACATTTTTGGTGGATCTTTTCATGTGAAGTACAAGAGAATATCAGAAGAGTAGAACACTCCTTCCAATAAAGTACAAATACTTTGAAGCTGGCATTTGCAAAGGACCTTAAGTTAGCTTCCACTAAGCTGCATGACCATGGAACAAATTTCTGTGGTGATATTTTTTTGTTCTGTGTGCTGCTTGTAGTCAGTCAGCTCTGCATTTTAGTAACTTCTCTTCCAGTGTACTGTGTCTAGCAAGGCCAAATTACTTAGCCAGAAAGTCAGTGTCAGCAATCAGTATCTTTTTATTTCCATTGCACAGATGAAGAAAATGATGCAGAGCCCAGCTTTGATGACTACACCATGTCAGTCAGCAGAAGCTGAAGTAGCAGTAGAAACAAACTTCCCAAATTCCCTTGCTATAACCTACTAAGCTTTTTTTTAAGTGGCAACATAATTTCCAATTAACCTGAACTTTGTGATTTTTTTACCAGAATGCAAATACGAAAACTATTCAAACTAAAAATTAGATTAGATACTACCAGTAATGAACAGCCATGATATTTTAGCATTATTCACATTCAGTCTTTCTGTCTGTGTGTCAGTTCTGTTAAAAGACAGGGTGTATTTCAAACAGAAGTGTTTTCAAAGGAAAAATGTAAGCTACTAAACCTGTCAAATTCCTGAGGACATTAATAGGCCTTAATAGCCCTGACCTGCCTCACTTGAGAACTGTTCCCATCTTCTACCCATAGTACTAGGCTCCAGTTAAGCTCAACCTGAGGCCTTGAGTCACTGCCAGGTGTAGGAGTGCCTAACTCTGGCTCAGCCACAGCCATGCCTTGCCTGACTGGACCTCATTGATCCTGACCTACAGACTTACTTCCCAGCCTGACCCCAGACTTGCTGTGTCGCTGTGGACTTGATTGGTGATCGCTGGGCTGTCTGTCCCTGGTTGCCCACACCAGACCTGATCCTGACTTAGCTTCCCAGCTTGACCTTGGACCTGCCTTGACCACACAAACTTCTATGGTGGCATGGATTCTTAGTTGTCAAGCTCAGATCTGCCCTGCTTACCTACTTTGGGTTCTGTGGGATAGTGCCCTGGCTGGCACAGCCCCTGCCCTGCCACCCTTGTAACTCCACTTAGGTCTGGGCAGCCTGTCCTTTAGGGAACAGCTCGTCCTTGCTGTTCCCAGAAGAAATCTATTTGAAGGTGTCTCAGTAATGGACTGGATTCTTCTTGCAAAGGGCTGAGTACTCTTAAAAAATGTCATTGCAGAGAACCACTGAGGTCAGTCCCAGTGGTCTGAAGCAGGAGTGGAAGCAGGAGAATGTGCAGTCTTCTGCAAATGCTCTGCACTTGCATACGTGAGTTAAGTGAATTTGACCAAAGACGTCCAACTGATTTCATTAAAATATTGATTTTAAAAGCATGATAAAAAGCATCTAACATCAATCTGTTTACTTTAAAAAGAGGAAAAGCAGCATTAACTATGGCAATATTTAGATACAGGGTTCCTGGAAATTTTCTGGCTGATAAACTACTGTCTTCAGTCTAGACTGTGAGAACAGAAACCATTCAGGTCTCCACAGGAGACGAGCTCAGAAAAATGCCCTAAATCCTTTGGTATTTTAGTATTTTAAAATTGCATCTTAAAAATGCCAACTTATTCTTATGCATGGTAACTTTTACATCAGGAAAATGGTTTGTAAAAATGAGTAAAATGTTAAGCTGGGAACTCATATACACCTTGAAGGTCTGTATAGCCAGAGGACTCAGACATTCAAGACTTATGGACCACTAGTACTTGCAGTGGGCTGGTTTTGGCTAGGATAGAGTTAATTTTCTTCATAGTAGCTGGTATGAGGCTCTGTTTTGGATTTGTGCTGGGAGGAATGTTGATACTGTTTGAGCAGTCTGCACTTGATCTATAGACCAGTTTGGTTATATGTCTCTAGTTCCTCTTGCTTTACTCTTCATCTTCTGATCATAATGCCTCAAATTTATCTGGTACAGCACAGGGAACATAGGCTGATTATCTCAATCCAATAGATAACCAACAAGTTGTTTTGGTTTGCTTGGTTGGTTTTGGTTAAAAAAAAAAGCCCATGAGATCAGGAGAGCATAGTGTCAGCTTAGCATCTGGTACTGAGTTAATAAGGTATGATGGACCTGAGCAGAATATATCCAGGTTGGTGTATCTGTGCTGCACTCCTTGGCATGTTCCTGGTGCCTGTCTTGCCTGGTCTTTTCTATCCTCTTGTTACACTAGATAATAGAGAACTCATGATACAGTCAACCTCCTATAGTATTCTAGTCCATTAAAAACTAGTCGGTAATAAAAGTTTACCCATCCAGCTACAGCAGAATTTACACGTGACTTATTTCAGTATTTTTGCATTTTGGTTCTACATGCTTATGAGGTAAGAACACATCTCATCCATTCTCCCTTCAAAACAATATCCGTTGTCATAAACAGTTCTTAAAATGTGACAGGTTGCTCAGTTATGCTCTCTTGTACAGCTGGCCAGCTTGGCAAGCATTCATCATGATGACTTGCCTAGTCATTATGACAAGTCATATTATTATCATCAAAGAAAAAAGTCTCTTACTAGCTGAATGAGGAGCCATGTGTTTTTGCCTGTCCTTCTCTATCAGTACATGAAGGACAAGATCCTAGCTGGCACTGCCTTTTCTCTGTAAGTTACACAGACTTTAGGAAGGACTCTTCTGTCCTGTTCCACCATGTATATAGCTGTACTTAAATTAATTAATATCTGATGTGTAGTAATTTGGTGTGAAGATCTCTTACGCAGGCAGAACAGTCTGCATGTAATCCCAGCAACACTGAAAGATTTCTCATTTTTATTAACATTGTGCTGTTATTGCCATTAGTGCTTTTTGTCTGGGGAAAAAAAAAACAAACCCAAACCAACTCACAAACAAACCAACCAAACACCCCTGCAAACCTCCTACACCACCCTACCTTAAAAAAAAAAAAAAGAAAAGAAAAATCAAAAGAGCTAAAATAAGTCAAGAGTGGATTTCCAATAGCAAGAAATATAAAAAGATGCTTTTCACCTCACCTTTGTGAAGGTCCTCCAGAAGCTGCACTGTGGCCAGGTACAAGAGTGCCCATATTTCTTCTTCCTCCAAAGGGCTTCCTTTTGCCCACAGGACCTCGGCCAGTGTCACACAGGAGCTGCTCATGCCTGCTGCATTAGAAACCAGATTTTGGACACACTAAAGTACACAGAATTGCCCAAAGTAAATCATGCTGATCATAACCCTACCCTACTTTCTCAATAAGAAATATTTTGTGAACCACCCTGCTTCTTTGTTTACATAAGGTAGGTATTGTTCACCCCTGTCTTAACCTGACTAAGAGTAAATAAAGTGAACTGGTGACTTCCTGTCGGCTTTTTCAGCCCTTTTACTCATCATTTGAAACCAACCACAAGATTCTGTGGGGCAAATAGTTTTTACTCAGGATATCCTTCATGAATATGGACTGTGCAGATTTTGTGAGTGGTTATATGAATGGTAGGGCATTGATTCTACTGCTTAATTGGATTCTCTTGTCTATAAAAACATGACAGTTAATCTAAGAGGAAAGAATGGCAAAGCAAAAGAGATGCACTGTAACATGAAAGGTTTATAAACACAGCCCAGCAGATCAATTGAGTTTCATTCATTACTCAGCAGATTGATCAGTAAAAGCTCATAGATTCTTACTGAATTCATCAATGATTTTCTTGGTCAGGTACTTGAGACTCAGAACTTGCAGTTCATCCATACCAATATACACATAAACTTGCTTTGTTTCACTAAATAGAGTTAAAATATTATTCCCTCTGTGAGCTGATGAATAGCAATTTAGTAGCTCCCAGCACAATGTCCTGTCTGACAGGTTCATGAGACTTGGCATACTGCAGAAGAATGTTGGTCCAGACACACTCCCTGTTTTATCTCAGCTGCAATATGACATCAGATCATTTAGAGAAAGCCACCCTGTAGTAAATCATAATTTAATATTGTACCTATTGAATTTATTCTCCTAATCCCAGCCAACTAGAAATTGACGTGTGACTTGAAGGATCAAGGCTTTTCTTCCTCTGAATGTTTTATCATACTAAATATTGTCAAAGAATGTTTTCTTCTTCATAAATAAATCCGATTTTTCCATTTCACCAGTTTTACAATTCTGTAATATACTAGTCTAGGCAGAGCTGCTCTAGGTTTACATATCTGTATGGAAAACTGAATCCAAGCTTAAGATTCACTAAAAAATTTTTGAACTTAATTTATGCTTTTGCTGTTATTATCCTGTAACAGTGAGCTCCATAGGTTCACTGTATGCTGGTTAAATAGGAGCATAATGAAAAAAGTTGTGCTGTGGTTTAATCTCATCTTGTTATAAGTACCACACAAGCTCTTGCTCATCTTTCCCTCCCCTCCAGTGGAGGAGAAGAAACAGAGAAAAAGACAAGGAAGCTTGTGAATTGAAATAAGAACTACTTAATAATTGAATGTAAATAAATATTATAGTGATACTAATAACATTAACGATACTACTAATAGTAAGTAATTGAAATAATAGGAAAAAAATATTATACAATTGCTCACCACCTGCCAACCAATACACAACCAGGTCCTGAGTAGCAAGAGTCAGAGCCAGAGAGCCCAAGAGCTGGAGCCCAAAAGCAATCGCAGCAGAGTCTGAGCAAGCCCCACGAATGAGAGTACGAAGGAGAAAGCTAACTGTCCCACCAACCCACTATCTAACGCATGAACAAACAAGCTTATGAGCAACGAAACAAGTGAGCTTGCAAAGGAACTATACAAACAAGCAATCTATAGCCCCCAGTCCCACTCCCATCTTATGTACTGAACATGATGTGCTGTGGAATGAATTGCTCCTTCGGTCAGTTTGGGTTAGCTGTCTGAATGGTGTGTCCCCCAACACTGCTTGTAGTGAGAAAGTTGAGAACACAGTTGCAGTATCAGAAGCTGAAAAACTCGTTGAATTGGTGCAAACACTCCTTAGCACCAACTAAAAAACACCCCACCAGTACTATTCCCAGGGGAAATCCAAAACGTAGCCTCATATCAGCTACTGTGAAGAAAATTAACTCTGTCCTGACTAAAACCAGCACAGCTGGAAGTGATACATCTATTTCTTTGAGGTTTTGACATTGTCTGTAGACCGCCAAGTGAGGACACTACAGCCTAGGATGCTATTGTCATATATAGGATTATAAACAGCACTGCAAAATGATTTCACTTACAGCCTGAAAATAGATCTTCCCCCCTAACCATATCTGTAGCCTTTATACACAGCCCACTTACTGCTACAATTTGCTCTCTGCCTGCAGTAGAATTTAGGGTCTTTTACAGCTGATTTCTTTGCCAGCTTCCCATTTATTATGCAGTCTTCAAGGGATCACTGCAAGAGCATTGCAATGTTCTGCAGCACCAACTTGTTGCTGATTAATAAACTACTCAGACTTTGATTCATGGGGTCTTGTCCTGGGTCACTACCTTCAAAACAAGGAGTCACAACATTGGAAGAATGATCCCTTGTTGCAATCACTAACGGATTATGGACCAACCTAGTGACATTTTAAACAGAACCAGAGTCCTAATTTTAGTCTCTGTAGCTTCAAAGGGTAGTAAAGCTTCTTAAGAACCTAACCTTAATTAGAAAAGACAGACAGATCTTCTTAATCTAAGCCAACACCATTTCTCTTAATAATAAATTACTGTGATAGCATTTCACTTAACCCTGTCGTACTGGGACTAAGCAATCAATTCACATCCCCAGAGCTAGAATCTATGTGGCTTCTCTATATGGGTAATCCACCAGACTGTTCTTAGTGCTGTTTTATTTGGGACCGAGCTGAGGGAAGGGGTACTGTATCCTCTGTTTTAGAGAAAAATTCTTATACCAAGTCATTTCAGTGCTCTGACTAGCTTAAATTACTCAATAAGCAACTGTCCAGAATGGAGATGTAACAGCTTTATAGAGCCAAAGTGAAACGAGCACTTACATCAGAGCTGCTTAGCTGTTGTAGTGAATTTTTTTTCTGAGAGTAAAAGTAATGTCTCTGATCAATACTAAGTATAAATTAAATGAATTCTGATAGCAATTATGTGCAAACTTCTTTAAAAAATTATTAAACTATATGGCCATGGAAATCATAATCTCTTGAAAGTATAATAAATTTTTGCTCTAATGCAATGTAGGTTTAACAGTGTGTTATTTTACAAGCAAATTGGCAATTGATTTTTAAACACACTGAGAATATCCTTTAATTTTGGGCTCTATTTTTGACTTTTGCTTGTCAAGACCAGCAGGATGTGGTATTTGACACAAATATAACTGTGTGAGTGCTTGGGGAAAAATACACTTCATTTCCTTTTGCAGCCAAGCTACGTTATGTATATGGTATGACAGTAATAGTGATACAAAGATAATGTTATCGTAGCACTGCACACATTCATGGTCCCTCAATTCAATAAAAGCTGTGATCCAGAACCAAACAATTCTGACCTTCTAACAAGCTACAACTGATAAGGCAAAGCAGGCAAATTAGGAGGCAAGGAGAAAAAGTAACCAATAACCTCTGCAAAACGGGACTTCACAGTAGCACTACAGATCAGGAAGCGATGGTAGATCTAGTTGAGCCTGCATGGAAAAATTATAGCAGCAGAAGGTGGTCACCCACTTTGGAGTTTGGCCAGGGTATAGAGTTTAGCACTTCTGTGTCTTGAAAAAGTAGCAAACAGCTTTCAGTGACAATTCATGCTCTGAGGTCAAAGACAAATCTTATGCTGAATTCTGTAGAAGAAGGTAGTGCCATCCAATTAGGCAAATTAGCCTAAAATATCCTCCCCGTTCTAATCTTTGCAACACATTCATCCATTACATGAACTGTCTCGAGTCGATAGATTTTCCCCTGGAAGAATTTAATTTACTTTTCTTGCATAGATATGAAAGTTACACTTGGCTTTTGCCAACCTTCATCTTTACTTTTGCTGCTTTGTTGACCATATAAAGACAACAAAAGAGCTAAAAACTATTACTTT